GAGCCCAAGAACGAGCCAATGCCCGCAACCCCCAGCGCCTACCGGGGCAGTCGTGCGCACGACAAACAACCGCACACTCCCTCTACAGCTACCGGCGTTCACATGAGGCCTAATAGGGCCCGAAGTGCCGGCGCTCCTCAGCCCAGACCGTTGTCTCTCGTGTCGCCCGATTCGGACGGCAATACAAAGCCAACGCCCCCTCGAAAGCCGGCGCACGTAAAGGCGGCGGCGATGGCCCGGAAGGCCAACAAAGCGAACGCTAGGGACGGTGATGTGACGCCTACCGGTGCCCCCGACCCAACCATATCCGTAGTAATTAATAGTAATAATATGAGTTCCGAAGGGATTGTCAAACAAAACTCTTCCGAAACTCCTGTGCCATCACTGGATACGCCAAAACCGAGCACCGAATTGCCGGCGCTTATCACTACTGATACGACTAACGGCGCCGTCAGTGATAATAACGGGCCGTCGAAGTCGAAAGAGGTGTCGGAAGAGGACTACAAGAAGATGATGGCTGAGAGGCGCCGAATCGCTAGAGAACAGGCAGAACGAGAGGCCGAGGCTGAGAGGCAACGGGTGCTGAAGGAGGCCGAGGAGGCAGAGGAGAGACAGCGCAGGGAAGAGGAGGAACAGAAGCGCTTAGAAGAGGAACAGTTGAGACTCATTGAGATCCAGAGGAAGGCAGAGGAGGAAAGACTGCGGAAAGCGATGGAAGAGAACAGTCGTCGCGAAGAGGAAGAGAACAAACGACGCGCTGAAGAGCAGAGACTGAGACACGAGAAGGAGGAGAAGGAAAGGCGGGCTAAGGATGAGGCCGAACAGCAACGTCGAGAGCTTGAGGAACGCCTGAAACGAGACGCCGCCGAACGATTGGCCCGTAAAAATGTATGGTTTTTATGGCATACATGTGCTCTTTATTTGATTTAATTGTTTGTTTGTATTTATTTGTTAGAAATTGGAGGCAATTATGAGCCGCACACGAAAGGCTGCGCCCACACCCCGTGCGGACACCTCCCCGCCCACCCAATCGCCTAATGAGACCCCTGAGCCGCCCACCACTGACTCGAACTGTAGTACACCTGAGAAGAACCGAGAGATCCATAAGAATCACCAAAATATGATGAAAAATGAGCAAAAGAGTGACGATATGATGATCATTACGACGAGTGATAAGCACTCGACCCCTCCCGACCTTCTCGAGGGCGTCAATAGAGCCGTAGAGTTGAATAATAAGCAAAATAACGGACAGTCGTCTCCAACGCATAACGGTTCCCATAATCACAATATCAATAATAATAATCATATCGAGAGCTTTGGGTAATTGTCGTTCAATTTATACGTTTATTTGTAGTCGAAGTGTATTTAATCGATGTTTTTGTGTGTTTTGGATAGTGTTTCGGATAACTTATTAGACCTGAGCGGCACAGGGAGTGCCAACTCATCCATAGATCAATTAATTCACATAAACTATTCGCAGCCAAACACCAGGGATGACCTGAACTCCAACTCACGGTTCGCCAACGGAAACGGTTTTACTAACGGCGCGAACGGCCATAAAAGTCAAGAACAAACAGCCATTACAGGTGTGATTACGGACACGATTTGAATGATTAGTTTTGTGTCTAATGTTATCTTTTTTTATCTATTGTTTCAGATCTTCTCTCTTAATGTCGACTACACTTCAGAAGCATTTTTATCTAATTTTTAATTTTACTCTAATTTTAATTTAAGAGAAAACAGTGATTTTAATGGAAAAGGAGTTTTCCGTTTTATGTTTAAATAATAGAATTATTATATAAATTAATTAATTAATAATTAATAACATATTTATAAATGAATATATAATAGGTTAAAATCATAAGACATGCAAAACACACACAAAAAGCGATTGTTTTTGAACACCAAAATTGATTATATATTCTGTGAACAGAATTGTGAGAAACACACAAAAGACATACAATTCATTGAATCGATGAATGCATTGATTTGAATGAATGAATGGGATGTTGTGTTTACTGGGCTAACTGCCCACCCATCCATCCAGTGGTCACACAAGCATTTTAGGACTAATAAAATGTTATCAATTGTTGTTTTGACCATAAAATGCCTCTTTTGAAAGACTTTATTACGAGTTTTGTGTGTGTTTTGGCTGTGGTTTGAGTGGACATCCCATTGGACGGCCATTAGAAGACTCTGTGGATTCAAATCGTCGACAACTCATCGAATCGTTAATTAAAATAATTGTAAATTAATTACAAGTAATTTGTTGCTCATTACCACCACTACATCCCATACCATACCTATCAGTCCTTTAATTACTTTATATTTTAGATATTAATTGACACACAAATGAAGTGCTTTTATGTGATTATTATATTCGTTAAGAATGAGACTAAAATAGATATTATTATCAAATTAATTGATTATAAAAATAGTTTTGAATTAATACTATAGTCGGAGAGACAGAAAATGTTTTATTAAATGAATTGTACTTTTAATTCAATTTTTTTTGTCAATAAGCCATGTTTTAGTTAAAATATAATACATTCAATGCTTTTACCGGTACAGTAGTACCCAATGTTTTTTAGTCAGAATTTTGAATCAGTTTTTGTCAACTTTTCTGAAGACTATTATTCGTTAAAAGCATTGGTTTTTAAAATGTATTTCTCTCTCCTATTCTCTCACTTGTAATTGATTTCTATAAGAATTTTCATTAAAACAAACATTTCATTACATTTCATGCTAATTGAATTCAATTTATTATTCATTAAAACTGTTGATAATTAGATTAATATGCGTAAAGGGGTCGTAATTAAGCATATTTTTAATTTTGTGTCCTGGATCAGTTGTGGCTATTTGTCCTTCAAATGGTTGCCATCGAAACTGTCTCTCCTCTGCCTCCTTCAGCACCCGTTCCCTCTCAGCCATCATCTTCTTGTAGTTCTCTTCCGACACTTCTTTCCACTTCGACGGCCCCTTAGATTCAATGTCTTGGGATCTAATAGAGTGACAAATTATGGACTAATTGTGTGTCAAATGAATGCAAAGACAAACCATTGATGGCTTTATTTGACTGACCAGTGATTGGTTTGCGACGAATGACTGTCACCTCATCTCTTCCAATGATACCGACGGGCGGGTAGTCGTCGACCACAATGTCATCGATCATCAGATCCCAGTCATAATCGATGGCAAACTTGTTTTGGATGCGAGTCTTCAGGCCTTTGATGTGACCGTCTTTGGACTCAATGGCGAAGAACTTCGTGGGCTTCGGGTGACACTCACTGTCCGTCGCATCGAAAGCTATTTTAAAGCGCTTTACCGGCGAAGAAGTGGAAGACATGGTTCACAAGCAATGGATAATTACCACAAGATTTAAGACAAACACTTGTTTTGCTTTCAATTCATACGACTTTTGAGTCAATTTCTGAAGTTTTTATAAAAAGAGTTGAAAAGATTGGCTGAAAAATAACGTAAACTTTTATAAACTTTTACAACTTTTATGCAAATAAACTAAAGTTTAGATGGATTACATTGATTAATATTAAACCAGGTTAGATTCTAAAGTAACTGCACGAACAACTCATTATAATAATAGTGTAGTAAATATTATTATTACAAATAAATTAAGAGACCCTGTTTAGTTATTGTTGAGTGTATGCAGTGAACGATTAGAGCATTATTTCAAATATACTGTCATTATTTCGTATAAAGGTTTGCTTAGTTTGTCATCCATTGACTCACTAAAAGATTACTAAATATTAAACTCTTAAAAGTTGAGTTCAATTAATTGCATCAATTAGTGAATACAACATTTCAATTCACAAAATTCCTATAATTATCACAATTACTAAAAATGTCCACAAAATCTCTAATAATCATAATATTGGATGAGTCGGAAGTATAGACTCAAAGAGGGCCGACGTTTTGGGAGGTTTTAATCACTTCATTAGAGACCAAAAGTCGGGGCAAAGTAGTGATCGCACGACACTAACATGAGTTAAGTTCAATACCCGGGTGTCTGTCGTCCACAATGGCGTCCCATTGCAAGACATTCCCGAACTTGACTTAAACACATACACCCCGGGAGGCGGAACAGCCCTCTTTGATGCCATTGCAGAGGCCGTACGACTGGCCGATAGGGATAAGGCATCGGACGAGAGGGTTATCTGTGTTGTGATGACTGATGGAGAAGAGAACTCATCCAAAGAGACGACTCAACAAGAGGTGAGGGATATAATTACGGGACACGAGTCGAGAGGCGACTGGACTTTCGTATACATCCTCGAGAATCCCGTGCGATGGGCCCGACGGAGCGGTACGCCTCTCGGGAATGTCATGCAATACGACCACATTATGACCCCTTTTATGCCAGTCCTCACCCCTCTTCTCATTCAATCTTCACTGACAACTAATTGTGTCACAAATGATCGTAAAACACAAGTATATCGTGAAAGCAAACAGTTTTTCATTTATTATATATTTGTTGACTAATTAAT